CCTCCCTCTCCCCTTCCCTCCTTTCCTACCTCTCTTCCCTTCCATTCCCTTAACTCATCTTTAAATTCATCCCACACCCATAATTTCCCTTCTATCCACATTTTCATATATCCCACCCTAACTATCTTACCTTCCCTCCTGTGCCTTTCTGCTTCCCTCTTTAGACATCACTTCACCCTCCTCTCTTTTTCCGTCAAGTCATCCAATATCCACTCCTTCCTATCCCTCAGCTTCACCTTCCCCTTCATCACATCTATTTTCTCCCCGACACTCGCAAACCTTACCCACACCATTTTCCTCCCCTCCTTATCTTTATTCCCCAGCTTCCTTATCCTCTCTACTTTCACTATTGCTCCCGTTGCCCCCACTATCTTCACCTCCTTTCTTACCCCCTCCATCCTCACCTCCTTTATTTTAACCCCTTTAATAATTATATTCCTCTTTCTCTCCTCCCTCTTCCTCCTTTCTCCTTTTAACTCTAACTTCTTCATCCTTTCTTTTAATTCTTTTACCTCTCCCTCACCCCTTATCCCTATCTGCTCCATCCCCTCCTCTTCACCCTTTTTCCTTCCTCCCTTCTTCCCTTCTCCCCCTCCACCCTTTTCTATATCCCCCACTCTTTTCTCCAGTCCGTCTAATCTTTTCCTCATTTCCTCCATCCACTCTCTCATCTCTTCTCTATCTTCTCTCATTTCTTTCAACTCCCTCCTCATTTCCTTAAAACCCTCCCTTACCCCCCGCCCCTTACCCTTAATATCTCTTCCAATTCCCCCTCTTCCTTTCTTATCGGTGATCTCATTATTCTTGCGCTCCTCTTAAAAATTTCTCCCTCCCCCGCTCCTATCTCCTCCCCCTGAATCTCCTTCCTTTTCTCTCCTCTCTTGAAAGATTGTAGTATAGGCATACTGTTTGCCCTATCCCTCGCTAAACTTTCAACCTTACTCGGCCTTCCCACCTTCCTCTTCTCCTCCCCTATCCCTCCTTCCTCCTTTCCCTTCTTCCCTCTCCTACCCCATTTCCCTCCTGCATCCTGTCTTTCTCCTATCCTATCAACTTTATCCTATTCAAATTTCCTGCTTCACCGCTTATTCTCTCCTTCTCTATTTCCAAGTTTTACCGGTGGTATCGCTGTCTCGCCTTTCTTACCTGCTTCCTCTCTACTATCTATATTATCACCGTTCTCGACCCGCTTTTTCTTCCACCTGTCTAACCTCCAAATCCCGCCCGCCTACTTTCACCTCTGTCTTCTAACTCCCTTTCCCCCGTCCCTTCCCTTCACTCTCCCAACACCACTTGCCCTTTCTCTATCCACTCACCACCTTACCCTCCATCACAACCCTCCTTATCTTCTGAAATTCATTCTCACCAAACACACTTCCACACACACGTCAATCACTCCAGCTACCGGAAACGGAAGTCAATAAAATAAAAATAATAAAAATAATAAAAAAAAAAATAATAAAATAAAAATTTAAATTACTAGATGTTTTGATCACAATAGGGACTTTCCTAAAAGATTAATCTACTGTGGATATTAATTTTCCTGTGTAATAGCTGCTATCTTAAAACTTCTGTAATGTAACTTCTGTAATGCAAAATATATCTATCAATCATATAGATACATCGTTGAAGTAGCGTAGTAGGTGAAGATTGAAGATCTAGAGATTCGAGTTTAAATCCCATTAGTGCAGTAAGTGTATTTTCTAAAGATGATACTAATTAAACTAATTCAGTAAAACATAATTCAGAAGATTTCAGTGAAATATATCGAATCTTAAAAAATATAATAAATTAATAAGTGATGAATAGAATTTTGTGTGTGTAAAAATAATATTTTATATTATATTTCATGTTATAAATACGTTCGATTTTACATAAAAAGTAATTCTGAATAAGTTCCCAGTCAACACGCTTGTCAGAATAAGAACTCAAAGATAAATTTTTTAAGAACGCATTTTGATATTTCGGAAATGATGTCTAAATAATATCTAATAATCATCATATTCCGAGACATCTACTGAAAGAGCTTTTGAAGTTATCCCGTTTGAGAGATTTCTTGAAAATGTTCTCTTTATAATATCATGTCAAATTACATCAATTTAATATTATCAGGATGAGAACTAAAAGATAACATTTTTAGGGACACATTTTGATATCTCGGAATGTCTAAATAATATCGAATAATCATCATATTCCAGAAACATCTACTAAGAGGGCTCATGAAGTTCTCATGTTTGAGAGATTTCTCATGTAAATATCATATAAATTGTGTCAAAGAAATAATATTGAACAAATTATTTGAATAAACATCCAATGCGCGGGGCAGCATGAAACTATATATTAAATTATTATAAATTTTTAAGAGCGTAACTATCAAATCTGTAATATCCTTGTAATAATGCAAGAAAGACTTAAAAAATTGTTTCGTGAGCAAATATTATATATATGAAATTTGGTAAGTACAGATACAACGAAAAGTGTAATCTAAATGCACTTTAGTACAGGTTGCTTGACTCAACATTCGTGTCTTGCGTCCGCGCGATCCGTGTGTTAGTTTCGTGCCTCTTCACCGATTTGCATGAAACTTCGTCAGTTCGTATTTTGATGCGTAGAACACAAACATGCAAAAAAGAAGTATCGTTGAAGAAATGTTGAAAAATAACACTTGTGTTGTGAGTTAGGAAATTTATTTTGTCGACGATGCGATATGGGGTTAGAAAATCTGTCATTGCATTGTCGACAACTCATAACTTTTAACCCGCTTGAGAGCGACACTTTTTCTTGCAGAATCGTGTTTTACGCGATCTGACGAAGTTTCATGCAAATCGGTGAGAATTTGCTTCATAATTACCACTATTTTGAGGAATTATTTTGACATCATAAATAAAATTTTAATATGTTGACATACATCTGAAATATCTTAAAGATATCTCTTTTTGAGAAATCATTTTGACATCTTGCTGTAATGCCTTTCTGTTCTCAAAAAACGCATTAGATAACATTTTGTTATCGTTCAACAGCTTTTCGAAGTCTCTTCATCCCAGGTAGCAAGGTGACGTCTAAAGACGTCATTAAAACGTCATAGACGTCTTAATAACGTCTTAATGACGTCTTTAGACGTCACTTTGCTACCTGGGATGTTATCAGATTTCTGATTCAGATATCTTTTAGAGATGTTTTTGATAACTTTTTGTTCAGTGGGTAGTTTTTTTTTCAAGTTTTACATACATATATACATACATGCATACATACATACATACATACATACATACATACATACATACATACA